CAGGTTTGTACTGTTTTTGCCAATAACATCTGAGTATAAAGCGCCTGTCATTTCAAAGAAAACTATATAATTGATCTTTTTCGTGTCTGATATCGCAAATAGGACATGCTTCATATGATTTCGCTTGAAAGTTGATAAATCCCTTCTTAATGCTACCAACCTCAAGCCATTTATATTTTGCTGTAACTAAACTAGCTTCCTTGCTTAAGGTAGTTTTATCTTCAATGAGTTGGAATTCATCCTTTTCCAGCTTTTCAGGAGAAAAGGTTTGTGGCCAGATTTTAGAATAATTGGATTTAGGTTGTACTAGATAATTTTCTAGCTTGCAATATCCTTTTTTAACTGAAAATAATGCGGGTTTTTTAACTCTATCTTCCTTTGCCAATCCAAGGAGCTGGAGACTAAAGCGAGATTTATAAAGACCTATATCAATAAACTCTGAGTATGACTTCTCAACCCTTTCAGTAACTTTTTTCATAAAACCTTTAAAATCTCTATAGTCAATAAAACGAGCATAGGAGTACACAATATACTAGCTACATTTATCAGAATTAGACGAACTGGTTAAGACAAAAGCATCTAATATTGCAAAATGTTTTAAATCAGAATATAAAATATCAACACAAGCAATTAAGATTTTAGATAATAAATCTTTGCGAGAAATTTTATTTCTATCTAAAGAAGGGAGTTCAGGATTCATGGGATCAGACTTTTGTCTCGCATCAATATCTAAAACTAAACGAAGAGGTAAATTCTCATCAATGTACTTATGGGTATCAGGTAATCCATAAATTTCAGATGGATGATCAACTACCGTAAAACCCTTTCCTGCCACTCGAACTATATATTTATCAAAAATCTCTTCAGGATGATAGGTACCTAGAAGAGAGATATCATTTTTATTATTAGACAAATATTGGAAATATACATGATCATCATAGCCAGGCTCATAATTGAGGTCTGTTAAACCAGAAAAGGGTCTGGTTGCTTCATTTATTATTTTAGGGCTCAGCTCGGGCTTTTTTGCGCAAGCATGATACAATGTATGGAAATAATAAGTATAAAATTATATATAAATTTTCCAAATCTTCAAAATAAAAAAGTATAAACCATTCTGGCCTCTAATCAGATTACTAGTATAAGTATACAATAAATATACTAAATAATACTTCAAAGCAATCAATGCAATAATATTCTGAAGTAGTAATTATGCAGAAACAAGGCTTAGAAGCTAAAAATAAGCGAAAAAATGGTGACCCACTTAAGAAGAATTATATATAGGAAAGAAAAAAGAAGTTATGCTTGAGTGGGTCATCAGGTGATAGGCAGGAAAGAGATCAGTAAGGCAGAAAGGTTCAGGAATACACGAAAAAAGGTATGAAAGCAATATAGTCTAAACTAATTTAGCACTTCGTGCCTCATTCTTAGCAATCAAAATGGTCATGGACAGGATTGCAAGAATGGCATAACATCGGCACTTCGTGCCTCACTGGCAATCAAAAAAGTGAGTGAATTGATTGCAACACATCTTTAGCAAATAGATGGATTGCAAATTCAGCACTTCATGCCTCATCCGGCAATCAAATGGGCCGACCATAATAATGTCTATCACACCTCTGATTTTCTAACCAACTGACCACTAAACCAGGCCCTCGAAAGTTACTCAAAAGTTACTTGAAAGTGACGTATGGAACTGGCGAGGAACCGAACACGTGATTGGCGCAGTAATTTTCGCTAATTTCGGCCAACACTAATCCATATTTTTTTCCAAAACTTTGAGACGCAATAAGGCGGCATCCAGACATCCGATTCATGCGATCTTAGCATCATTGGAAAGCTCTCAACGCCCTCTTTCAAACGACCACAAAATCGCATGAAACCAATCACAGGAAGCCAAGATATTCCGCCCTAAAGATCGGCCAGAAATTATGCTATAGTGCCGGCCAAAATCTGATCCGCAAATTAACTGCGCCACCCGACCACAACACGATTTTTAGCGAACAATGCCGGCCTAGCATCATGGCCACAAAAAGACCGCAGAGCAATGAAAACAAGCGGATAGCTAGAAGGAAATAAAAAGAAGATAAAGCAATAAAAACAAGCAAATATCTACAAAGCAATAAAAAGGCTACAGAGCAATAAAAACAAGTGGATATCAATAAAGCAATAAAACGGCCACAGAACAGTAAAAACAGTAACTAGGTAACATTATATTCATAACTAGGTAACATTATAGCGCAACCGGGTAACACTCTTATAAGAGTGTTACCCGGTGATGACTATTGGTAAAACATCTTTCTGAAACTCTTAAGCCTTAGTCTAAACATTGCAGGAAATGTGAAAAGATCAGCCATTATCAAAAATTTGCAAAAGTCATTAAGTTGTCTTATTTTTACATAAAAACATTTATATTTCATTGTTTATAAATAGATTCAACAGTTAAATTGTCTTAACAATGATTGATTAGATTGTTTTAATAGAACGCGTTGTATTAATAAGTAATTTGTATAACTAGGGAACGATTTCGGAAACCGTTATTAACTCCGTAGCATAAGGAACCAACCACGTATCGACTCAAATTTTGAACGGGCGGACAGATGGACATTTTTCATTACTATCGCTCGTACATGGATAGTCCTTACTAATAACTTTTGATCACATATCTAATCACGTGCGGGGCAACTGCCGGAATAAGTCAACTTTACCTAAATGATTTTTAAGGCCGAAATAACTCATTTTTATTTCCCGGCAATTTCTCCCTTTTTTATTGTAACTTTATTAAAGTTTAAATGATTTAAAAAAGAAAATTAATTTTAAAATTAATTTTTTTTAACAAACTTCTTTTTTATTTTAAAATGATCGGAAACCAATCAACGCTCGCGTGATTTTTGGTCAAATGGGTAAAAAATAAAAAACGGGGGGTGACAAATTTATAATCACGTAGATACGTCCATCAAAGGAAAATTTGCAAAATTTAATTTGCCTATAATTATCATTAACTCAATTTATAAAACGTGGTTTCCCATGAGATTCCACAAGGAGATGATTCATTTAATTACCTTTTTCCATTTCCGTAGAAGTTCATGTAATAATGTAATACAAATCACGAGCGTAGTAATCTGATGTTGAATCAAAGACTATCGCGAAAAAACGCGTACTTTTATACTTGTAATAATACGCGATTTTTTTATATTTAAATACGGTCTATTCTAATAAAGCTTCATTAATTTTTCTGTCCATTTCAAAACTTTGGGAATTTCAAACCTATCACTTAAAATTAAAAAACAAAAAGATTTTGCTAAGCAATGGGTAAAACGAAAAGCGTAAATAAGCAGACGGTTTCGTCATTTTTTGCTTCGACAAAGGCTCGAACTGTAAATCAGAAGGAATCTAAAGTACGTTCTTATAGCCTTTTTTTTTTTTTTTTAAAAAAAAAAAATATTTTATTGTATTTGATTGTTTTATTTTTTAAAAAAAAAATTATCGTTCTTGCTTTATAAAGCTTTTGGTGCCTTTGGCGCAAACTGCTTCGAGCAAAGCTCGTCAGAGTTTAAAGGTAAATTGGATTTAATTATCTATAAAGTTGTTGTTGCCAGAATGTATTATGATTAAAACTATTATTGATATATATGTCTTATATTTTTTAATTTCAATTCAGAGTGAATCTAAAGAAAACACAACTTCTAAACGCGCATCTATATTTAAACCGTCAAGTAAATCGGATACGGCACGTCGTCGCCGTGCATTGATTGAAAGAGTATGTATGAAGATCGTAATAAAGAATAATTATATATAAATATATAATTTATTATTATTATTTTTTAGGTTCGCGCAAAAGGACAAAAGACACTAGAAGAAACATTACAAGGCCTGGATCCTGTCAAAAAGAGACAAAAGACCATGCTGAGCCGATCTCGGGAAATTGCAAACTCTATTTCCTTGTATCCTCTTGCTTTACGAGTTAGTAATTAAAATTTAATAATATCACATAACATATAACCTTAACATATGCATAGTCTATATATATCAAGGAAAAAAACGGTCATGTTTGTTAGAGAAGTTGCAACAAGAATTGTAGAAAGTTCTGATGTGCCAATATCAGATTGTATGTATAAATTTAATAATCTTATTATTTATCTGCAATATTTTAAAAAAAAAATAAATTTTTTTTTTTTGGTTTTAAATCTTTAGACGAGGCAATAGAACATATTGAACTATTAACTAAAATTGCACCCAAGTGGTGTCAATTCTCTACTAGTAAAATTAAGGATGACCTTTTGAACGTCGACTCTTCAGTGCCAGCTTGGAAGGTTCGTGAAATTATTGAGGAAGGAGTAAAAAATTTTCAATGAGCAATAATCGTCACGCGCGCCAGGACGGTAAAAAGTAAGTCCGCGAAGATAATTTTTTTATAATAATGTTAGCGGGCTATTTAGGAAATATATGCACGAAACATAGTATAGTAAATTCTGGTAATTTAGCTACACAAAATATATAATAAAATATAATAATAATATTCACACACTACTTTTTTTTAAAAAAAAAAAAATTTTTAAAAAAAAAAAACATGAATTTGTCTAAGAGAAAAAAAAAAAAATAAAAAGAAATTCTACAATTTTTAATGTCTAAATACATGTTTCAAATCCTCCATTCCTCGAAAAGGTAATAAAATATAAACAATTTAAATAACAAATTCTACTGGGTCGTTTAAATCAATATTCCAAGAAAAGAATGAAGGAAATGAAAGATTTTGGAGGGCTATATTAGAAAGTGTATCTATCAAGGTAATAGGGATAATGCAAAAAAAAGAAAAGAGGAAGGGAAATAATGACCTTTTCTCTTTTTCAAATTTTCATCCAAAGAAATGATATACTATACAATAATGGATGTATTATATACATATATGTATACGAAGATACATATACACATATATATAAAAAAAATAATAAATCAAATAAAAATAATGAAATAAAAAAAAAAATGAATCGCCTCAATTGCTTCTATTGATGAACATTACGTGTGATAGTCTCATAATTATCGCTGTTACGTTTCAAGATATCGACAATAGGGCCTAATAATCGGACGAAAGCTTTCTTGCCTAACGTAGCAACCTTTAATCGACCTTTTGCAGTTATATTTACGGCACGGGGTTTGTTGTTAAGTAAAGCAAGCTCTAGAAAGTGTGAAAAGTTTTTTTTTTTTTTAATTGTGAAAGATAAACGTGTATATATATATATATATATATATAGAATTTTGTTAATATAAATAAATATAAATACCTCCAAAGTAATCTCCTTTTTTCAACCCAGGTAACTCATGTTCAATTCCTCCTTCATCAATTTTTGTTACGCGAGCATCGCCAGATTCTATTAGGAAGAAATTATTACCAATGTCACCTTGTTTAATTACCAATTGACCATCTTCATAAATCGCGGACTCTAACGCATCAGCGATTTTATGCCTTTCATAAGGTTCTAATGACACTAGGATCGGAACTTCCTCGAGAAATGATTCATACATCTTACGTTTACGAGAAGTATTTTCCATTAAAATTCTTCTAAAAGTTACTCTATCAAGAGCCCAAAGTACCGAATCTGAGGTAGCAACCACAGTGGCCGCTCGTGGAGCATTGTACATTAAAGCCAATTCACCAAAACTACCACCAGGGCCATAATTATGAACTTTGTCTTGAACACCATTTTTCGAAACATAAACATCAAATGTACCAGTTTCTACTACATAAAAAAAGTCACCAATTCCACCTTGTTTAATAATCGCTTCTTGATTTAAAACTCTTTTTTCAACCATAGCATCAATAACGTCTTTATACTGCTCTTCATCAAGGTTTTTAAATAAAAAGTTATTTTCAATAGAAGTTTCTATCCGCTCTCTTTGTTCTTGTGTTTTTGGAATAATAACCTTAACATAATCTTTATCTTGACTAGGAGCCATTGATTCAGCGCTTACAGAAGTACGACGACCTCGATTATAGTTTATTGGAATAGCAGGAAGTTCACTTGGCTCGTCATCATAAAGTTCTTCTTCACTGTCAGGAAAGTAATCTGTTGTAGGTGTACTCGCCATTGAAGTTCTTGCAGAATAAAAGTCCGGTTCGGGCTCTTTCATTTCAGTATCGGATACGTCGGAATTACCATGCGAATGTTCCGATGGCGAAACTTCACCCATAATAACTTCTGATTGCTCCATTGTGAAATAATATATAAATATGTTTTTAAAAAAGGAAGTAAGGTTCTTTAAAGATCTTTTTGACTCCGTAAAAGTTTCGGATGTTACAAAGGAGGTTATTAAAAAAAAAAGAAAAAAAAAAAAATTATTACTTATACTTTTTAAAAAAAAATTATATATATTATATATGGGTGGAGTCAGAGGTAGTTTTTTTGAGGAAAAAAAAAAATCGAATAGAAGTTAATCTAAGAAAAAAAAGGTTAGTGTGTGTACATGATTCCATAAAGAAAATAAAGCATGGCACTTGCATGGCAAAAACTTAGGGGAACTATTAACTTGCACTACACCATCTTTTGCATTATTCTATCACTTGATCAAAAAAAATTAAACACATGGCGTTACTCAATTGTTTTAATTTTTTTAGGGAAATTTTTTATTTTGACACAACATAGAATCAGAGAATATAGATTTGAATTTTATATTGTTTTTTTTTGGAGTATCAAAAAAAAAATATCTGGTTTATCGTCTTGCAAAAAAATTTTACAACTCATTAAGTTTGTCTCTTTATTTAATATAAAAAAAAAAAGGTTGTGCTACTAAATAATAAGATCCCTGATTTTCTAAATTAATATAAAATTGTTTTTTTTTTCTTTTTTTTTGACCTTACTTATATACTTAAGAGGAAAAAGTTTTACTACCAATACCTGACAAATAACCAACAAATCATACAAAATAACATTTTTATTAAATCTTTTTCTCTGTGTAAGTTACATTTGATAACACCGATAACATGGACATCGATGAACCAAGCTCGACTAATAATTCCAACGATAGTGATGATGAATATGATGAAGAGGTAAAAAAAAAAAAAAAATTATTTTTCCTTCTCCAAATTAACCATTATCTTGATAAACTTGAATTGATAGGTTTCTTACATAGTGATTGACCTCGGTACTGAAGTAACATTAGACATGATAACAAACAATTTCGAAATCTTGAACAATATCAATCCTTCTTCGTTCAATTTCAATCAGAATCGTCATCATCAAAATCAAGATTCCTCATCAACATCGATTCTCACTTCACAACCTTCTAATACTAATAATAAAACTAGTAATCCTACTGTTTCGGCTCCTTCCTCAAAATCCTTTCATCATCACATCAAACCTTCAACAACGAATCACGAAAAAGAAGTTGAGACCTCTAATTCTATTAATAAAAATGAAAATAATGATATTGATTATTCATTAATTGTAAGAATAATTAATATATATATATATATATATCACAAAAAGTTCAATCGAGTTGGGAACCCTTTTATAATATTAGTCGAATTTGTGGGATAATACGTCCGAATGTGTGAACTTCGTTCGTTCTTTAATGCTTTGAATTTTATTTATTCTCACAGGGTTTAGATACAGATACACCTTATTTACGTATAGGTGGTATACATTTTAAAGGTGATTATGATGAAACTATTGGAACTGATTTAATATTTTTTCCAGAACCAGGTAATGTTAAAATGTTATATTCTGATCAAAAAGTTTTTAATTCCTTGTAATTTTAACCTTTTCTTTTGTTATTCTTATATATCAAAAAGATCCGATGAATTCAAGGCAACAAAAACTTACATATCAATGCCTTACAACAAAAAAGATAAAATTCTCTCAAGTGAATTTACAAGAGATTGATTTAAATACGACGAATGAATTAAATATTGATGATGATAATGAGTGGGAAGATAATTATTCATTAAATAATAAACTAGACTTATTTAATATTAAGAGTGATCTTGAAGATGATGAAGAGGAGGACGATGGTAATGAAAGTAATAGTAAAAAAGAAAGCATTTCTTCTACTGTGGATAAAGGGAAAGGAAGAAAGGAATGGGATGAAATAGAAACGGAAAATTGTTATAAATAATGAATTTCTAACATCATTGAACAGACTGACATATATTGCATATTGATCTATTTAATATAAAAATTACAAGGAATTTTATGTAAGTGTAAAAAATAAATAAAATCATTAAATTAATAAATTATCTTTCCCAAACATAATTATTAATCAAGTTATCATAATATCTAATTCCCTCGATACTTTCGTCTCTACAAATAAGCCCTTTGGCTTCCACCATCTGTTTAAACCAAAAACATTTTTTGAAAAAAATTGCAATTGAAATAAGAAAAATAATAAAGCGGTTTTTACATTATAACTTACCTGCAATTGTTCATTTACCAAGACTACACTCTTTTGCTCTATTGAAGCCAATTCAATGGCACTTAATGATCCCTTTAACTGAATACATTCTAAAATACGCTGTGCTATTTGATCATCACTATGGGTCAGTAAAATGCTCATTAAGAATAAAATATTTCAAATAAATATGTGTGTGTGTGTGATATTATTGACAAAAGGATATCTGACTGAATAACCAATAACCCACTTTCGTATTTTCTCAATCTTAGAGGTAAACTTAATCGTTCAAATAAAGAACAAGCTTTATATAAATCGTTAGGAGATATCAATGCTATTAAATACGCAAAAGGAAATCAATAATGAGTATAATAAATGTTTGAATTATGATTTTTGATTTCCGCTTACCAACTCCCCTAGCCCTATTAAATATACAATAAATGTCCGTCAAAGACATCATTCCGTTATCTTTATCCAACGAATTTTCCAAGAATTCTGCGAGTTCTCTTGCTAATTCTTTATGATATATTGAACCGGCTTCATCTCTAAAAAAGAAAATTTGAATTTGAAATTCCCTTTATAACCTAAAGGAAAAAAAAAATTTTACCATACTTTGTTACGGGATTTGAAATACCAAGTTTAAACAGATTGGCTCTAAAAGTGGAGACTTCATCTGCAGAAGCTTCTGATTCCGCCGATTCCTTATTCAATCCATTAATAATAGTTTGAGCAAGATTAACCTAGAAAAATAAAGTAAATAAAGATGTACAATTTATTTTAATATAATTATTTAACGACAAAATTTAATAAATGAAACAAATGTAATATACCATTTTTTCTGTTATCGTTTTCAATGATTCTAAATCTTTGAATGCTTGATTCAGATATTCGTCTTGTTCCTTGTTATGCTCTTCAGCATTACGCATTATACCACCTAATCAAAAGAGAAAAAAAAATTATTAAATTAAGACGCGAGATTTCAAAAAGTTTTTATTGAATAAAAAATTTGTTATTTACTAATTCCTCCACGAACGGGGTCAAAATCTGCAGGAGATTTAAAAGATTCTACCGTGTTCTAAAAAAAAAAAAAAAAAAAAAAGAACTTAAATTTAGAAAAGTCAAGCCGATTAAATTAAGAAAAGCCAGTATAATTTAACCCTCACCTCCCATTCTTTCATAGTCATTGCTTGTTTCATTTTATCATAAAAAGTGCCAGCGCCTCCATTACGAAAAGCTAATTTAATAAAATCATCTTTACTTTTAACACCAACTCTACTTCCCAAAATTTCTTCATTAATCTTCAATCCATCAAGATTAACAGTTCCTAAATCGGCGTCACATATCTCACATATGATCATACTTGGATGATTTAAAAACGTGCATTTTGGACATGCTATACCAGTATCACCTTGTGTTTCATTAAATGGTGAAGTTGTAGTTGGTTTTATTTGTTGTTGTGAGGAATCAGAAGTATTAGATGGAGATGAAACAGGTGGGGACGTTACAGAAGCGAGATCCTCGGATTTTTTCACACCACAAAGTTGACATTTAAAAATTTGTGATGTATTGGAATAAGAACAAATTGGACATATCCAAGTAGATGTACTTGATAATGTAGAAGTAGATGAATCATTAAGTTGATGATAAAATGGTGTGGAGTTATTATTATTGGAATCTGAAAATTTTAAAGTTATTTTTGGCGAAGATTTGACAAATCCTGTCTATGTATTCAAGATGTAAATTAAAAAATTTAATTGTAGGGTATGTTAAAGAACTTTTCATGAAAGAAAAAAAAAAAATTAATAAAAATTTCCTTACGTAAAATTCTCTACCCTTAATAAATCTAATTTCAACTCCGATAGAATTGGTATTTGGTTGTTCGGAATCAACATAAACAATCCTATGTGAAGTTAAATAAACTTTACCATTCATATATCCAGCTGCTTTTTCGTTTCTATAGATTCGATTCATCACAAATTAGAAAAGAATTAATTAATACGTTGAAATAATAGAAATTTAAATACCCATCATAAAGTCCAACATTATCTTGTATTGCAAGAATCGTTTCTCCTTCATTCAAGACAGGTCTTAAAGTAGAAGTTAATTCTACGCGTACAAAACGATCCATTATAAAAAGTTATCAGATTTTCGGATGAAAAAGTTATATATATATATATCACTAGTTCTGTAGTTATACAAATCAATTATCAAATCCTAATTATAACGTATAGGAAGAGGAAGCATTTAATATGCAAATAAAAATAAACGTGAACGGTTTATGTGTATTTTTTTTGTGTTACGGCGGAAAAATTCAAATTTGTATAAATGCAGATCGATGTACCAAGAACCAAAGCACAGTAAGCACAGTATCAAACATATATATATAAAAAAATTTTTTTTTTTTTTTAAAAAAACGGTTTTTATTTTTCAAACTTTTTATTTTACATTTAGTTATACATTTTTTTAAATTAAGAACCATAAGAATGAATTTTTTAAAATGAATTAAGAATTCGCCTTACCTAACATTAAAGAGCCTAAAAATAGTAATCACATGACTTACGATACCTAATGCACAAAGTATGTCTCTTCGATCTAATCAGTTATTAAAGAAGATATTTTCCAAATAAAAGCAGAGAATTATAACGTTCTAATAATAGAATGATACTTTCAATAATACTCACAAGGGCAGTTTTGCATCTCCATGAAATACTTTTTTTTTGAAATTTGGCCATATATATAGCATTAAATGTCTGTTCAAAGGAAAAATATTTAAAGGGGGAATTTTTTTTTAAAAAAAATTGTTTATTTAAAAAAAATCGCTGGGTGAAAAAGTATGTGCATTGTATGATTGATTTCCTAACTTTGAAAATAATACAAGAAAAGGAACCAGATAAACGAAATTAGCAAAAATTTATATATAGTCGAACAATGCGTGTTTGTAAAAAGGCATGAACAAATTTAAAAAAAAAGCTCTCAGTCCTTTTAACTGAACCCAAGACCTATATTAAAAAAGGGGGAGGAACATAGGGTGTATATATAATAAAATTAGCTACTGTTGAATTGTACATGGCAAAAAAAAAAAAAAAAAAATTAAAATAAAAAAGGGGGATGTCAGCATATATGCACAAGAAGAAGGTGTAATAAAAAGGGATTAGATACAAAAAAAAAAAAATATTTCACAGTAGGCCAAGGGTCCAGGTTAATCCGGGATAGAGAGCAGAATTTACTTTATAGAAAGTCTAAGAGCAAGCATTTTGTTCATCAATTGACATCAGTGAGAAGCTGCTTTTCCAGAATATATTTTCCCTCCTTATAACGTTGACTCTGCTCGTACGCTCTCTCCTATATCAAGAGAATTGAATTAACGTATAATAGAAAAGTGCGAATCAACGACCAAAAATTACTGGTATATGAAATGGAAAACGAATAATAAAGAATACTTCATACATATTTCCATCCCAGTACGGATCGACAGCGGGAGCAATGTATATCCTTAACAGTATGCAGGCCAGTAGTCATGTGGCGGTCTTCAGAAGGTCCTTCTTCCACATTAACTCTTCAAAAAAAAAAAAAAAAATTAGAGTATAAATTAGCTATGAAGTTACTACAACTTACTTTAACAAATAGGGAACTCACACAGTATCAAAGAGATAAGCACGACCATGTTGACCTTGAAATGCCTATGACAAAATTAAGATTAAAGTTACTTCAAAATGCTCTTTAAAAATTCGGAAATTTACTTAAAACAGTACTAGAACATAAAAAAAAACCTTTGAAATAATGCTATCAGTTGTAGAGAGGTGTGTTCGACATTTATTGCATCCGAAAATGCGGTTACCGTTCAAATAAGTACGATAAGTTAAACCCATTTCTTAATGAACTTATTTCAATAGTAAGAAAAGATCCTCGCTTTTTATTTTTATTGACTTTTAAAAAAAAAAAGAAAAACAGTAGAGAGGCAGTAAAGGGATGAGGGAGATATACAAAGCCAAGTATTTTTGCTTCTACACGCTCCTTATAACTAGTGTCTTATTGCATTTGAAGGGTGAAAATAAATGGAAAGGAGCTGCAGGGCAGGTGAGTCGCTTTTTGAAGACTATGATATATATTAACAAAATGATATAATCAAAGAAGTATCCGATAATGACAAGTCACACATGCACAAGTATTTATGCCAAACCTATTTTTTTCTTTACTATGTTTAATTCGATTATTTTTGGTGTTTCTTTACCAATAATTGTACAGAGTTTATCAAAATATATATCTCGAAAAATCGAGTACCTTATTATTTATAAAAAAAAACCAGTCAACCCTTAGTCAATCTTTCCCAATCTGTGAGATAATATAAGAAATCACTTTACATCATGATCACATGAAATCATCAAGGAAATTTGAAATAATGAATGATTAATAAATTTATAAATTTTAATCCATCCAACCAGCTCTATCTGATCTTTTATAATTAATTAAAACATTTCGAAGCAGTTTTGCTCATAGTTAACATAATGGTGTTGATTTATCTCTCATATTATAGGTTTTGTGATACATGATGGGTTGTCCTACTAAAACTTGCTTTTACCTGTTATATAATGGCGCATGATGTTAATCGCGAAATTTTTTAACCTTTTGACCGAAACCTGAATGTTTCGCGTTTCATTAATAATGATCAGCTGATTAATGATAGCTTATGTTTTTGGAGGCGTGTGTAATGCAGGGGCGAATACTAACCCAAATTTGCTAAGAATAAATTCTCACTATATATACTAAATGTTACGCAAATTTTATATATAGTTACACATATCTTTCCAAATGGTAAAGATTGGGCATTTTATAACTTTATTTTCAAATATTTTCAAACTAACTTTATATGTAACTAATTTTTTTTTAATGATTACAAAGATTAAATTACAAATAAGTTAATTTATATTTACTATTGATTAATCAAAATTATAGTAAATTATAAAATCTGTTAAAAAAAATAAATAAATTTCAATTATAAAAACTATAATGAAAATATTATTAATGAAATCATATTATAGATCATATAATTTACTATATTTCATTATTTAATTTATTAATAATATTTTTATATTATTAATTTATAAAAAATAATTTATATTTTTTATATATATAACAATTTTTTAAATTTATAAATTTTTAAAATAAATTTTGAAAAATTAGAAATTAATATTATATTATTAAAATATATTATTTTTTAATTTAAATAATATAATAAATAAAAAATTATATTAAAAAAAATTTAAAAAAATTAAAAAATATATATATATAATATTATTAATTAAATTTTTTAAATAAATAATTATTTTAAAATATAAAATATTATTATATAATATTTTTTTTATTAGATATCATATTTTAAATACTTTAATTTTTAATAAATTTAATTAATTTTATTTAAAATTATATATAAAATATTTAATAATATTATTTATATATATATATATATAGTATATAATTTAAATTATATTTTAAATATTATAAATAGCTAATATAATATAATTATTATATTAGTTTAAAATAAGTTATAAAAATATAATATATATTATTATTTACTGTAAAACATTAACTAATCTATCACTCTTATGTAAACTACCTCTTAGAGTTTTTAATTGAAAATTTATAAAAAAATTAGAATAGTATATATGGGTGATTTTTTTAAAAAAATTTATTTTATTTAAATTTATTATTTAAAATAAAATTAAAATTATTCTAATTATTGTATTCAATTTCTATTATTACTATTTTTATCTAATTCATTTTCTTTGTATAAAATCATCTTAATTAAAAATTATATTATCTTTTATAAATCAGTTTTAACTTAAGTATCACAATATTTAAATAATTTATAAATCAAATTTAAATTGACTTTTTTCATGCAGTTTTTACCTATAAAAATATTAAAAAATATAATCATCTTTTAATTCATATAGCTGAAGTTAATTTATAAACTTTATTTATCATCTAATTATTATAAAATTTGCAAATTTATTAAAAAAAATAATTTTAATTTTGTATCATAATAAATAATAAATATAATAATTAATAACTAGGAAATAGTTTCAGAAATTATTATTAAGTTTACTTTGGACTAATAATTAATACTTATATTAGATTTAAACTTTTATTAACTATTACATTAAAAATTGTAATTTAAATATTAATGCTTTAGGTATTACTACTATATTAATATGAAACTCATTTAATTTTGTTTAATAAAATTAAATAAGTAATCATATAAAAAATCTAAAATAAGAAGATATCTTGAATTTAATAATTAATTAAAAATTATTTTAAATCAAATATTATCATTTTACCAATTATTTCTTTTTTATTTATCTAATTTTTTTCATTAGTTTTAGTAAATATACTATCAGAAAACTCTTTTTTAAGTTTATTTTTTAATTTAAATAATAATAAGAAGTAATTTTGATTTATTAATTAGATAATCTAACATAACTGTAAATATAGTTCTTTCATATCCTGTAGTTTTAATATTAATTATATAAGAATCATATTTTTTAAAAGTATAAAGATTAAATAAGTCAAAAAAAATATAAGTTTTAATTATAATTGCAATAAATTGAAAGAGATAATTATATTGTATTCTTTTATAAAGAATAAAACTTAAAATCTATATTGTTTTTTAAATAAATCTTTTGATAAGTGTTGAGTTACAATTATTTTTGCTTATTTAAAAATTATGACAGACTATAAAGTAATCTATCTATTTTTTTAAAAATTTAAATAAAGAAATTGTAAGATATATTTTCTGAATTTTTCAGTTTATAAAAGTTCTTTAACTTTTTTTTTATTACTATATTTTTAGTAAATTGATAAATTTTATGTACAATAATTAGTAATTTATTCTATTAAATTTTATTTTAATTCTAAAAAAAATAGTTATTTACTATTATATATAACTTTAATAAATGAGATATTAAAACTTTTAGCTATTTTTTTCTTTAATTCTAAATTTAACTTAATTTTAAATTAAACTATTTTATTATTTTACAAATACTATTAAAATATTATAAATTACAAAACTATTAATTTTTTCATATATATTATTGTCTTTTATTTTTAAAGTAATTCTAAAATATTCAGATTTTAATTATCTATAATAATTATTTTTAAAAAAAAATTATAAAATATGATACAAGTGAAATGTAATATAAAATATGTGAAAATTTATAGTTATTACAATTTATATTGATTTACATATTATATATAATTTATTGATTAAGATTTTTCTTTTATTAAAGTATCTTCTAATTAAACTATCTATGTATTTTACAAATTTAACATAAATTTATCAAAAACTATGATAAATTAGTCAGTATTTTAAAAATTTATTTTAATATATTTTTAAAGTATATTATAGTATATTTTTGTTATATTTAAAATTAAATATGATTAATATATTTAAATGACAAATTTTTATTATTATAAAAAACTTATAAATATTTTTACAATAATACTTTTTTAAGTTTTAAATTAATTTATTATAATATTTTATTTTTATTATTATGTCATTATTATTATTTAAAATAAAATATTAGAAAAAAATTTGAAACTTTTTATAATATACCAATTAAATTAATATATAAAATCTATATATATAATTAATAATACTAGACAAAATTGAAATATATTCATCATTACAATTAAAATTTTAAAATTCTGAAATATTTTATCATATAATAAAACTAAAAATTATATACATACTTTATATTGAGATATAACTGTATAGAAAATTCTTCTATATAATCAACCTCTTATTAAAATTACATGAATTGTAATTATATTGAGATTTTTAAATTTATGAATAATGTATAAGGTTGCTTATTTAAACTCATTTTAGATTTGACAAAACCTAAACTATAATTTTGCTAAATTTTTACTAAAGTTTTAATATAGTTTTATATTTTTATAAGCATTGATATAGTTTTATCTTTTTCAAAATTTCATAGATTTTTTAATAAAATTTTAATATAATTTCAATAAATTTTACCTTTTTTATATAGATGACTTGTAAACCTCTAAGTTTCATTTAGCAGTCTTAATAATATATAATTAAATTACTAATTAAAAAATTACTTTAATACTATTTGTTACTGTTCTTTTTATTTAATAAATAACAATATTATATATTTATTTATTTAAGTCTTTATAATAATAATACATAAATAAAATAAAAAAATAAAATTATAAATAAAATAAATTATAAATATTAAAGTATGCTTATTCTTAGTTAGATATAGATTAATTTATAACTACTAATTCTAAATACTGTATAGAAATGATAAATTTCATTTAGAAAAAAAAAATATTTTTTTAGTAAAAATTCAGAAAAAAATTTATTAAAAAAAAAAATAGAATGTAAAATTTAAGAAAGAAAATAAAATAATAATGGTTAGAAAGAATAATAAAAAATATTAATAATTAGAATAATAATTATATTTAAAAATTATAAATTATAAGGAGAGGTTTTTAGTATGTGATAATATTTCAATATTAGATACAGTCAATCCTCTCTAAATACCCTTTAGCACTGATCAAAATCAAAAAAAATCAGACATGTGAAAAATTGGCCTAAATTTGGCCTAAATTTAGCAAATTATCAAAAAATTGGTCTAGCTGATTGGTATACATTAGAAATCAACCAAGAATCAGCTGAAATTTGACTTATCTTATTATAGCCGATTGGCATACTTATTGCTGATTGGCATACGCAGTGTGTAAAATCTGAAATAAAAATCATGTGCAATTTGTGCATATGATGCGCAGTAAAGAGTGCGCATCAAATTTTTAATGTGCGCGATAAATTTTAAAAATTTTATGTGCAGATAATGTACTTTAATGAAATTCTTTTTATAGATGCAAAATATGTGCAGAATAATAAACTTTATGTGCTAAAATGTGCATTTATTATTTATTTTTATTTGTTGAATTATTAAATCAAATTACAATTATTAAGCATTATATCTAGGAACACCGTTCCAATATTCATAAGCTTTTTCATAATCATATGTCATAAAAGAAACAGGTGCATTTAAAGTTATATGTAAATGATAATTCAAAGTTTCGATTGACATTAAATTTCTTAATTTTGTTTTGATTAAATTTTGTTGAGAAAAAACACGTTCAACAACTCCATTAGAAATAGGTACAATTATTGCTATTTCTGATAATTTTGATAAATTTGGAAATTGTTGATAAAAATTAGAATTATTAGTCCAGATTCTTTGCCATGCTTCGATAAAATTGAAATCTTTGTAATCACAAAGAATATTTCTAGCCATTCTCCATTCAATGATTAATTTTTCGCCATCTAATTGAGGTTTACATAAAATATTTGTTTTGTTTTTTTTCGATTTACCATAAAAATTTGCTAAAAATTTAATTTCAGTTTCACCATAATTATGTAATTCACCACGATCTAAAGGAGCTTCACAAGGATCCAAAATACGCATAGCATGATATAACGGAGAGTCTGGAAATCTATTTTTTAAACTTTGAATAGTTGCATTAGCAAAGTGTGTAATTGATTCTGTAAAAAAAAAAAAAATAAATACTTGTTTCAATTAAATATATAAAAAGCTTATTTTAAAAATAAAAATTTTACCTGGTAAATCTGAGCTCGTTAATAAATTTTCGTTCATAAATTTTGATAAATGATTTCCATAATAAGGTTCAAAAAATTCTGTACCAATAAAATCACTTGTAATTGTTTCAATAATCATAGAAAGTTGATGTCGTGTTTCACTTAAAGTGACATAATCTGACTGAAATATTTTGATCATTGAACTTATTGTACCCAATATATCGGCCAAAAATTTAGTAAAAATATAAAATTCTGTATCTAAAGAATCTGCTAAAAACTTTGCTATTGGATTATTATCACTATGCTGAATTAAAGCGGAATGAACATCTTCAATTATTTGGTGAAAATTATTAATAACATTGGCCCAAGATAACCAACGCGTTTCCACAATATTAAGTATATTCAAATCGGAATATTCACTATTTTCTTGAATTTGTTTTAACTGATACCATCTTTTGTATGAATTAGAGAAGAAATTATAAATAGT